CCCATCCTGGGTTTCTTGAATTTGCATTAAGGCACCCACAAAGATACACAGGAGTACCACATTCACATTTAGAAACACTATGGTCACCATATTTTCAGGTCCAAAAAAGCAGACACCTGTCACTGGTTGGGGGGGGCAGTGACATGCTGGTGCCCTCCCCTACCCATTCTCTTGCCCCTCACTGGCAAGCCACGGCCCCCCTCACCCCTGCTGCTGCACCTCACTCCAGACCCACTGACCCCAGCCCTGCCAGTGCCCCTCACTCCCAAACAGCAGTACCCTGCTAGTGCCCCTCACTCTCGACCCACAGCCTCCGGACCCCCTCCCAGCCATGGCAGCACCCCTCACTCCCTGCCTGCAGCCCCTGCTGGTGCCCCTCCAGACCCGCAGCCCCCTGTGCCCCCAGCCCTACCAGTGCCCCTCACTCCCGACTTGCAGCCCCCTTCCTTGCCTCCTAGCCCTGCTAGTGTCCCTCACTCCCAGCCCGCAGCCCCTGCCCCCCCAGTGCTGCCAGTGTCCGCACTCTGGACCCACAGCCTCTGCCCCCCCAGCCCTACTGGTGCCCCTCACTCCTGAACTGCAGACCCCTGCCCCCCCACAACTCTGCTGCCCAAGCAGTTCCTGCATTGCATGCTCTCTTTCTCTCCCTCCCTGGTTTGCTGAAGCGCAGGTAGCACATGACCCCCGACAGCCAATCACCTTGCCCACTGCTCCCAGCCCAAAGGAGCTAGCCCAGGAGAGCAGAAAACCCAGACATTTGCTCTTATTTAAAAAACCCGCCCGGATGCAGCACAGGGGGGTCCAAAAAAAGAGGACATATCTGGGAAAACCCAGATGCACAGTAACCAAACACAAAGAAAACACCTTGTTTTACAAGGGAATAGTCATTCAACCATAATAAGATTTTTTTCCCCCCATGTGCTGTTTCCCTTAGTGTGGGTGGTGTTTATGGTCCAGACTCTTCCACAGTGATGCCTGGAGCAGACCATGTTGCTGGCATGGGTCATGCCTGCATCTTCGGATGCTCACACAGCACAAAGAAGCCCCTCCAGGAGGCTGGACTGTGTAGGAATGAAGCAAAAATATCACCGTAATGATGCAAGACAGAAGGCAGGGTAGGGGGGCACTTTAGGGAATGAGTTGGTCTCTAAGGCACTTTTACATGTGCTCTGGGGGTGGACGGGATGGAAGGGTTGGTGCTTTAATTAAAACGCCGCCACGTCTCATGCATCAGCGTCCCTGCACTTAAAAATGGTGTTAAGGGTGCTTGAACTAAAGCTTGTGAATGAGGATTAAAGTTAATGCAGACTATGGCAGTCCAAATTAGGCAATTGAAACTATATTAATGAACATGTATATATGATGTTGCTTTTAGGAAAAACAGTCCATAGGAACTCAGATAAGCATTCCTTAGGAATGCACATAAGCATTTTCAACACAAAAGAGGCTATAAGGCACAAAGTAACACCTTTACAAAGTCAAATGTCTAAACAACACCTCACCTATGACTAGGTATCAGTGTCCACTCCTGACTAAGCCCCCAGCTCTGCCCAAGCACAGGGGCTACTGGTCTGTGAAGAAGGGGACAAACCCTCCCAATCATCTATTAACCCTTAATTTGCATTGAAATTTGATTTGAACTGTGTGATGCGAATCAGTTAACGTGGTTTAGAAATGGCCTAAGGTGCCACCCTGTCCTGCCTTCTGCCTGACTGCAGGCTAAAATGACTAGTTTTATGTACCACTCTACATAATCCTGTGAAAGTTTGAAAACCCCCAAAATTCTTATGAGGAAAAAGACCCAGAACTACTGAATACCTACAGTGGGAAAAAATACCAACAGAGCCCTCTAGTAGGTAAATGGAAGTACTGTTGGCCAGACGCTGTGATAACCTCTGTCTCTCTTCCTCTCTGCAATCGGGTTTTGGTGCTTAGAGCATTTGAGGAGGGGCAGTAGGTTTATGCAGCTGCTTTCAATTTCAGCAGCACAGCGGCCTCCAGTGTGCAGGAGCTGCAATTGCAGTTGCTCTGCATCTCCTTTCTCTGTACTCCAAAACACCTGCTTACAGAGCAAACCTGCATTGATCATACAGCCTTTCAGCCTCAATGAAATACAATGTAATACCACTGTAATTACAGTGAAGACTGAATGTGATGTGGTCCCTAACATAATAAACTTCATTAAAAAACCTACCATATTTCTTAATTGGTCAGTAGTCATCCAAAGTACAGTGTCCCATAATACTCTGCAGAAACATTTGTTCTATGCTGGCTCATAAGAAGGGATGTCAGCAACTGAATATCATAATATATCACTGCTTTAAAATGTATCCGTCTTTTGCCAGTTAAAGTTGTAGCTAGATGTTCTTTAGGACTGAAGTGTTGTTAGAGCCGTGATGGTCCAGGAAACGTATAGGAAACAAGGTTGTTTTTGTGGTACCTTGCATTGGACTAATAAAATATATCACCAAAAAAATAAACAAAACAAAGCAGAAACTTGCCTCTTGATCTTTAGGACCCCAGAACATATGTGTAACTTTAAAGGATATCCTGAAAGGATGGGATTACCCATGTGCTTAAAGTTAGGCAGGAATTTCAGTGCTTTCTTGAGTCAGGACCTGATCCAAAACATGATGAAGAAAATCTTCAGTGGGCTTGGTATTGGGAATGTTCTGCCCATTTGTAGCCAGATATTCAGCATGCTCTTTACAATGTTTAATTATCTATCTGGTAATAACCAGATTTCAGTAGGCTGCCCACAGACAGTCATCTCAGATGCTCAGTACTTTTGTTAAATGGTTTAGCTCAGTGCATCCCGCCCCCATGGCAGGAACTTTTGCTAGCAAGATATACTGAACTTGCTATACAATTCAGCAGATAGGGCAAAGAATAATAGAAGTTAATTATAACAAGCAAAATCAACACAGATCCAAATTTATTCAAGGTTTTATTTATAAACATACATTTACTATAAAAGCTGTTGCATTTTAGACAAGTTTTCCTAATTTCCAGAGGCATTTTAGAATAAATATTGTAACTGAAGATTAGTGTAATTGGTATTCAACATTAGCCCAAGTAGAACAGTAATTCTTGCCCTTGAATGGACTCGGATAGAAGATGGACCCCTTTTTGGATTACCAACCTTTATGTCATTTATCATTACTATGGTATGTTCTGCATTACAACACTACCTAGCAAGAGTAAAGAAAAACATCAGAAAGTTTCGTAGCGAAAGATACAAAATGGTTACATCAGTTAGCCATGTTCTCTGAAGCAACAAGAAAGTAAATATGCTTTTGGAACATCTAAAACATTACATACATTGTACTTGCTTAGCAACAATAAATCACTTTTTTTAAACAAACACATTTACATTATAGCTCAATGGAATAAAGCATTTTTTTCCTGCAACTGCAAAGATAATGACAAGAAATATAATATACTTATTATGTTTGAACTGGAAAAAAGCTAAGCTTTAGCCTGACTGAACCTGTCACATAATAGACTCCAGATGAAATAGAAATAAACAATTGGCAATTAGAATTTAGAAAATGCTGAGGATCAATCTGCGCTGGTGACTAGTTGTTCAGCATGGAAAAATGTGTTGTAGTCTGAGAATGCTGATTTGATTTGCTTCACCTACAATTAGGTTCACTAAAATATGCATATATGAAACTACTGAAAGACAGACTGGGCCAAACTTTCAATGGGCCTCAGAGATCCACTTGTGCATCTGAAACTGCACATAAAAATTCCACTTGCACATGCTTTTTTTGGCTCTAGTCATGCTCCTGCTAATATCACTGAGAGTTTAAACCACTGACTTCATCAGAAGCAGATGAGATCTCTATGACAACCAAAACTTTTGCACTCTTGTGATTGCTTTACGTATCTACATTTAAATCACAAGTGTGCATTAGTGTAAATGACTGATATTAAATACACACGCACACAAGCATGCAGAAATGCAGGTCACATTTTAACAATTAAATATATTCATATATCCTTAATGTGATAGATGGAGTCAAATAGATGTACAAAGTACTTTATAAAAACCTGTCAGTTGAATACTCTTAGTTTGAATTATTTGCAGTAAAATATTATGACATGCCAAGTGTAAACATACAGGTTATCAAAACATTTGACAGTAAATCATGCAAATGGCTAATCAAAATGCTGGACTTAATTGTGTATTTCCAAAATTTTTTTATTTTTGATTTTTTTTTTTTAAATAACCCTAATGTGAAGTCATGTGAGCTTTGGGCTTGGGAACGACTTCATCTTTTTGGATTTATTGCATCCATAAGTCACCACTGACTGTGCAACAGCTTTGCATTTTCTAAGGCACAATTTTAATGAAATCATGTGTAACTTTCTACTAGACAGCCACAATGTCTTAAAATGACAACATTATATAAAGATTTTCAATGACAAAGCATTTTTGCACAAGCACGCAACTTGCATGCAAGGAACTGTCTAGCATTTAAATAAATATTTGCTAGCTATATAACAAAAGAAAATTATTGCTTATCTAAGATCCATTTTACTTCCTTTTACTAACACACCAAAGACAAAGGATGTGTATATATTCTATCACAAACAATAAGGACGCTCTATTAATTTAGTTTATCATTGTTTTAAGGCAGAATAAATAGGGGCTTTTTAAATTTTAACTTGCAGCATGAGCTGTTAAAATAATGTGATACTTTCAAATAACTGTTTCCTGTTTTAGGCTGCTAAATTAACCATGTAGTGTAGTCAGTAAACCAGCATTGTAATGTTTTACAAGTGTAATATTTCTTCTAAAATTAAGGGTACATTCCTGATACCTACACATAGTTCTGACTACTTTTTCAGGAAGGCGTTGGTATACACTAGCAAAAGAATGCTTACAGTGCTACAGATCCAAATGTACTTAAACATTTTTTTGCAAAGTGGCATACACTGAACCTTGTCTGCCATT